GAACACAATGCAAGAAATTAAGTGCTTGAACTTGCTAAATCACTGTACATGCATAAAACAATGATAAAACCTCACCAGAATTTTAAAGACGGTGAAAACACAAGTTCATGCCTTAGCAGTGACACGCTCACGAATCTGATGAGGTACAATAAGCATTCCCTTGGGGCAATGCATACATCCTATGACCAATGACTACCACCCTTCTGACACGACGACAAACCTCGATGAGTGACATGTTTGCATATTCCTCTGCATCAGCCTGTGCTTCTTCCCCATCCTCATCGTTTTCATCGTCCAATAATTCCGCTGAGGGAAGAAAGGAGGAGTTAGCGGTGACTACTCCTTTTTTTGATTTCCCAAAAGCCTCGGCTCCAGTGGCGACATGAGGCACCGTAAGACTCCGATTGCCTTGAACGATTGTCGCTGTGCCATTTACAGGATGAATCCAAATCTCCACTCGTTTGGGGCGGCCGTGCGTGAAACTGTTTGGAGAGTTATTACAACCCAGTCCAGTCTGAGAAGATGGGCGAATAGACGGCCATTGGGATGAATTGGACTTCTATGCGGGATAAAAAGCTTGACTAAAAAAGGTTTAATAAAGAATCCTGATTGGGAAAGTAGTCATGAGATATAATCAATTCCACAAAGGCATTAAATGACAGTACTTCCGAGCTATACAGTCCTACTAAAGTATCCCCAAATTATTTGTCGTAACAAGACAGATAAGAAACTCAGAAAACTCACTTTTTGTAAAAATTCGGCACCATGTGTATGAACGTCGCTAAATAGAGCAGAAAGACTTTGGCTTGCTGTAGGGAAAGGATTGCTAGCTGCCAATGACCGCATATAGTAGCACATTGCGTCAAAATGACGAGACTACAGAAATGAAATTATTCAACAAAGTCAATATCTAAACTAGGATTCTTCAAAAAACTGCCAGAACTAGATTTTATCATGAAAATGGAGTAAGTTTTACTAAACTCTTGCAGTGCGTTTGCAGACAGAGATGTGGCCCAACAGATGAGTTCGTCTTCTGGTTATTACCCGTAACCCAACCATTTCAGTACTCTGGACATAAATATTAGGCTTATTTTGTCGTTTTTCGGCTCCAAGGTGGTCTCAATGTGCTATGTTATCTTTAACGTTTGACGAGTAGAACGCAAGCAAGCTACACACACACAGGAGTCTCGAATCATATTTACAAACAATGGACTGCTACGGATTACACTGAGTTGGCGGCCAAAGCCACCATGGGGGTATATAAGTGAAATCACAGTGATGTGAAGTTTCAACGATCCCAAGAGCAACGTAAATCAGTAGCAGGCTCCAATGGAGCATACTCGCACCTCGCCAACAGCTTAACCCCTTGGGATCACCAACCGAAAATGTTGTTATACACAAACAAAATCAATTCTGAGCCACCACATACCGTATAGACGGCTAGCAGCGCAAGTTGATTGTAAGGTCTACCACTTTTGGGGATAAGAAGCTGGGCTTTTTGATACCAACTAAAACATTAAACAAAGGGGTGATAACAGAAAATGGCAAATAAAGAACCCGTAAAAAGTGAAATTTTACCTTCTAGCCTTTCCAAAATTCTGTCCACTGTTAATTATTTCTTCGTATCGAGCCAAGTCACCGAGATAGAGCATAAGCTTCTGCGCACAGATGTACATTAATCTACAAGTACGTGAGCCAGACTCCGGCGGCGGTCGACCCTCAGAAAGAACGTAGTCCAGGTGAACGTGACGAGTCGCCTGCAGTCGGTTCAGCAACTCAGTCAAACGGTGCTCACCAACTTGAATTACATCTTCGAGGCACACCTTCCTGATGATTTTAATCATACGAGAAAATGCCGCAGCAGCAACAGCCAGTCCACTTTCACCTTCTTCTGGTTTCGGTAGCAGCCTACAGAATAGCCAATTGTCAGCACAAACAAGTAAAAAAGAACAATGTGACAACCGACTAACTGTCCTACCCGGTTAAATAGGGATTCACTATCCAGGATCGTAAAAACTCTAATACCGTATAGAAAACGGATTTCCACATCCCTTGTTCAACCTGTGCTGCATTGCAAAACTCCAGATCCTCAAGAATTATGCGTTCGTAGTTGGTCATCAAATTGCCTCGAAGATTTTCCAACGTAGACCACCAGCGTAAGAACAAACGTTCCGGCTCCGACATTTGCAACTTATCTTCCGACTGTTCATCTGGAAGAGGAGGTATATGAAAGGCGCAGCGCCCAGGAGGAACCATCAATGTGTTGAGCGCAGCGTCAATTCTCGCAATTTGATATACCGCTTCTAACACTGCAGGGCTTGAAGGTTTGCTAAAAGGAAAAGGGACTTTGACTGCATACAAAGAGAAATAAATAATGATGCCCTTAATCGAAGATACCTCGAAAGCTGTGTCAACATTAAAGAAGAGGCACCATTCGACTGCCCAAAAGGCTGAGGTTCTTTTCGACGGAAGCCTGTGCTTGTGGCCACCGAAGACAAGCCAGTGATGCCAGTTTCTCCACCAGATGACTCATGACTGTAATGTACACTGCTCTTATTAAGCGGCTGTAAATGGGTATCCGAAGACATCGAAGACCTTTGATGGGGCCGAACAACCAACACGGGCCTTGGATTTGCCGTAACTAAAATACATGCGATAAACAAATCCTGAGTACCTCTTTGACTGCTGCTATGATTCCCTTCGCTAGTACTTGACTGATTAAAAATATTAACATTTTTGGGTAAATGGATAATGCCACCATGTTTAAACAAAGGGTTCATCAGAGGCTCAGCAGCCTTGACCGTACTAGAAGACAAATCCTCATCCCTTTTCTCCACACTCTTTGACAATGCTTCAGATTTCACAATTTCGAATCCACATTCTTCCTGTGAATGCAAAAGTGGCCGACTGCTCTCGCAGGTTTTGATATTTTCGGTTGAATCCTTTCGGGCAATATCTACATTGTCCCCAGACAGTTTATTAATAGGCAGATGATTATTCTGGAACGATGTTTCGCGGGAAACAGCACTATCAAACGATTTATCTTCGACGCTTTTGGCACTGACGGCTACGGTCCTATTCGACGGTGGTCTGTAAATCAACCTATCAGGACGCCTACTGGTAGACATCAGGCAAACTTGAGCTATTGAAAAACACTGAACAGATTCCATCAATTATAACAATACTCTTAACCTTTTTAGGTTTTTTGATAGAAAATTCAAAATCTTTAAAAATAAACCTAAGCAATTTTAATATTTCACAATGATAATATTTAGCACGAAAAGCTATGTTCAGGGAAATAATCTACAATAACTGGTTAAATTAGGGTTATCCATTTTACTCAAATGCCACCATGGCTCCCATTTGTAACCCATTTTAAAGCTTTTGATTGGACGGGTATAGCAGCGTCCGAAGACTTTTAACAAGATAGAAGAATGTAGCAAGTGTGGCTGAATACATGTATTACAGGGTGAAAAATTAAATTAGGCCTGAACATTGTCGGAGGGCCAGTCCACGCCTACAAGCGCCAGAAAATCTTAAAGTGATTAACAAACGCTAGGTGGTCACATAAGCAAAAATGGTAGTCTATCGAAGGGTCAAGGGTGTCCAAGCCCACACTCAGGCGCCTAAAATTTGGGCTTCATTATGGGATTAGTTGGGGGGATTTATAGGGCAACCTGCATAGATTGGAAATGAATTTGTTTATCGATAAGATGACGATCCACTGATACTCCGCTGATGGGTCACCCGCGTTCCTCACGCTTGGAATTCGTGCATGAATTAATTAATCGCCCCACCCTTTCAAAGGCAACTTAAATGCATTAGTCTACTTTACAATGTGTATGTCTGCAATAATCACAAGAGGCATTGCGACACTTGAAAGCAAAATGATTTATTGCGTTAACTTATCGTTATAAATGATGATCACTGCAATGCACAATACTGTGTTGAAGTTGGCCTTGCAAGCGAGTGATTGAAATGAATACAAATCGCATATTCGGTGGACTTGGAGAAGCCCACTCTTATCTAAGGTTGGAGACTTTCTTAGTAATGTCACTAAGTCTCCCTGCGCGCTGTAGTGAATACTAAGCAAAACTTTCCAGAGCAAACCACCCCTCATGAATGGCGAAGTTCTATATCCTGTGAGTAGGACGGGAGGCGCTCAATCACCACAGTACTCCGAGATTTACCACCAGGTAAACTGAGGCATTAGCTGGGGTTGAGTACATGTAATCAAGGAGGAAATTGGAAAGTTTGGGCTCTGGATTGGTCCAAAGGCCAGCTCGCATCAGTTAAAGTATAGGGCGATTTAAAACAGCACAGAAGGATTGTTAGTAAACCCGACAGGACCTCAGAGCTTGT